AAGTTCCCAGTCCCCAGGTAAGAACCCTGGTTTAATAAAGCATGATTCTTGCCCTCATGGAGCTTACACTCTAGTGAGTAGTTGACAGACACAATATTCCATGATAAGCAAATGCAGCAGAGATGGGAAACAATGTGTGTGTGATGGCTGAGGGAGAGGGATGCTCCTGACAGAGGGAGCAGGAAAAGCTTCTTGGAAAAGGTGGCCCCAGAGAGGAGACAAGGGCATTCTCGGCCCAGTTAACATTTGCATTGTGCGGTAAGGTTTTCATCCAAGTACTGCAGACATGTTGATCCTCTCAACAGGCAGGTGCTATTATTATCTCCATTTTATGGCTGAGAAATCTGAGGCTGAGAGAGGTGACATGGTTTGCCCAGGCTAGTAAGTGGCTAAGGTTGGATTTGAACTCAGGTCTAACCTAAATTCAGGCCCAGCACTTTATCCCCTGTACCACCTAGTGGCCAGTAGGGAACAGCGAGCAAAGGTTCAGAGACTCTGTGTTTGCTGAGGAGCAGGTAGGTAGTGAAGTGGATACATCATTACACCTACTAGCTGTGTGACCCTGGGCAAGTCACTTCACCCTGTTTGCCTCAGTTTCCTCATTTGTCAAATGAGCTGGAGAAGGAAATGGCAAACCACTTCAGTATCTCTGCCAAGAAAACCCAAAATTGGGTCACAAAGAGTCAACTGAACAACAGTGAAAATGTTTGCCAGGGGGAGGGGGCTGATAGTCTTGGATGAGACACTTAATTACTGCTCTGAACCTCAGCTTTCTCACCTATAAATTGGGGGAATAATAGCATGCACCTCACAGGGTTGTGTTGAGAATCAAATGAGATGCTATCTGTAAAGCATACCCTTTAAACACTATAATTAATATTATTAAAATGGAGACATATCAGCTCTCCTCTTCTCTCTTTTCAAGACCATCTAAACTTTGGTTTCCAACCTCATCAATCAACAGAAACTACATTGTCTCGAGTTACCAGTGGTCACCTCCTCCAATGGCCTTTTCTCTCTGCAGCCTCTCTCCTTCAGGTTCTCATTACCCTCTTCTCTCCCGATTGTCCTCCTTTGTGGGACCATGCCTCCATCTTGCTGGGTTTTCATCCATGTCCCCCAAGGCTCTACCCTTGGTCCTTGTCAACTCTCCCTCCTACCTACGCTAGCCATACACTCTCACGGGTTCCGTTATCATCCCTACGCACATGATTCCAAGGTCTAGATATACCCAGCCCTCATCTCTTTCCTGTGCTCCAGCCCCACGTCACTGACTGCATTTTGGTCAAGCTGGATGTCCCATAGGCATCTCAGACTCACCAGGTCCCAGACAGAGCTCATTATCTTTCTCCCCAAACTCTCCTCCTTTTCAATTTCCTATTACTGTTGGGGGCCCCACTGTTCTCCCAGTCATTTCAAAGCTTAAGTATTGTCTTCAACTCCTCATTCATCTCACAGTTGGTGTTGTTCAGTTGTTTTTCAGTCATGTCCAACTCTTCATGACCCCATTTGGGGTTTTCTTGGCAAAGATACTGGAGTGGTTTGCCATTTCCTTCTCAGCACTTGACAAATGAGGAAACTGAGGCAAACAGAGGATAAATAACTTGCCCAGGATCACACAACTAGTAGGTGTCTGAGGTAGGATTTGAACTCAGGAAGAAGTCTTCCTAACTTCAGGCACTATGGCGCCACCTAGTTGCTTCACTAAGCTATGGGGATATAAAGGAAGGCAAAAAACATGATTCCTGCCCTCAGGGGGCTCACATTCTAATGGAAGAGATAATATGCAAACAGCTATGTACATAGATATATCCAGGCCAAATGGGAGGGGACCTTAGAGGGAAAGCACAGGCTGTAAGAACGACTGGGAAAGGTTTCTTGCAGAAAGTGGCATTTGAGGGGCAACTAAGTGGCAGCTAAGTGGCACAGTGAATAGGCTCCAGCCTTGGAGTCAGGAGGACCTGAGTTCAAATCTAGCCTCAGACACCTAGAAAGCTGAGGGACAGTTAGTGCAAAGAGTTGGGAGATTTTTGCCGGAAGATGGACAACTGTGTGTGAGCTACAGGAAGAAGGCGAATGTTGCTGGATCTTAGTAAAAGGAAGTCATTTGTTTTTCCCCAGGCTGAAGCTACCATGTTCTCCCTCCGTATCTCTAGTCTTTTAGCTTCCCTGACTTCCTTCAAAGTTCAGCTCCACAGAACCAGGAGAACATCGTACACAGTGACAGCAATAGTGTGCAATGATCCACTGTGAACGACTTAGCAATACAATGATCCAAGACAGCTCCAAAGGACTCATGGTGAAAAATGCTGTCTGCCTCCAGAGAAAGAACTGATGGAGTCTGGATGCTGAGCAAAGCAGATATTTTTTTTTAGTTTTTTTATTTTTCTTGGATTTCTTTTTTTGTTTGTTTTTTTGACTGTTTTCTTTTGCAATATGACTATTATGGAAATGTTTTGCACAACTACTCATGTATGATCTAAACAGCTAGGTGGCACAGTGGATAGAGCACTGGGCCTGGAGTCAGGAAGACTTGAGTTCAAATTTGACCTCAGATACTTGCTAGCTTAGTGACCCTGGGCAAGTCACTTAACCTTGTTGGTCTCAATTTCCTCATCTGTCAAATGAGCTGGAGAAGGAAATGGCAAACCACTCCAGTATTTCTGCCAAGAAAACCCCAAATGGGGTCATGAAGTTGGAAACTACTGAATAACAACATGTATAATCTGTATTAAATTGCTTGCCTTCTAGAGGAGGGACAAGAGGGAAGTTGAAACTCAAATTAAAAATTGTTTTTACATGTAATTGGAAAAAAAATTAAAAATATAGATTAGCTAAAATCTGAAATGGACGGGCCGAGAGTAACCAGACACACGCCAAATTAGAAAATAGAGAGCATTTACTGGAGCCGGCCGGCGACTGTCCCCTGGATGCAATCCTAGGAGAAACAGTGCCAGGCAAGAGAAATAACAAAGCTTTATACCCAACAGTTTTCAATCGTAGATACTAATCCTTTGATGTAGTGAAATTTACAATCGTGGATTAGCGATCCTTTGAGGTAGTGGAATTTACAATCGTGGATTCGCAATCCTTTGAGGTAGGGACTAAGGAGGTCAGGCTAGGTTTGTGACAACTCAGTCCACTTCAAAATCCACCTTTTCACGGACGAAAAGAGTCAGACGGGGGACTCATCAGAGTCCAGAGGAGCATAGGATTGACGCAGGACAAACAACTGGAGTGCTTGCACTCGTTTCTGGACATAGCGGGTGATGCATTTTATGAGACAAGGGGCCACGAGTAACCCAAGGAGGAGAAGGGCCAGAGGGCCCACCACTCCGGAGAGTAGGGTGGTTAGCCAGGGGGACCAATTATACAGGGTCTGATACCAAGAAGACCCCGTTGCCCGTGCGCGGTCCCTCTCATCTAACCGCTGCCTAAGGGCTTGCAAGGACTCCCGAATAACTCCAGACCGATTGGCATAGAAACAGCAGGTTGCTCCCAACGCCATGCATAAGCCTCCCTGTTTGAGGAACAGTAGGTCCAAGCCTCGGCGGTTCTGGAGAACCATCTCAGCTAAGGAGTCTAGGGAAGTCTCAAGGTGTGAGACTAGCTCTTCCAAGGAGCGTAGGTCCCTGTCTACCTGTGCACTCAAGGCACCGTAGTTGGCTTTCCCCTGTATCAGGGCTGAGGCCCCAACAGCAGCGGAGCCGGCCACTCCGAGTCCCACCAATATAGGAACCAAGATAGGTGCAGCCCTCCTGGAGCGAGTTAGGCCAAAATGCTCAGCTGCCCCTTCCTCTGAGTAGACATATACCTGAGGAAAGACACGCACCACTACACAGAGCTCGGTCGGGTTGAGGAAACGGATGTCCTGTATGCAGGTGGTGAGTCCTCTGGTACAAGCGAACCATACTCCAGGTGGGGCGGTTAACAGGAGGTCAGAGCTTTTGGATGTGGGGGAAATAAGAATGACTGAAGTGCACGTAGTGTTGAACGGGGAGGACCGCAGCGGGTAGTCAGGCCCGAGCAAACACATCCCATTGCCCTGGACATCGTCTAGGGTAAGTCTAGGCTTATCTGGGTTACAGCGGGCAGGTATGGCAGAGGGTCGTTTGGACTTACTTAAAGACAACTTTCCCACAGAGGTGATGTTAAGTTCGATAGCAATTCCTACGAAATGGGGGGGGCTGGATTCAGACACAGCCAACAGGAGGTGGTTATGTTTGGATCAGACACATTTAGGAATGAGTGGACAGCAGAGAGTGTGTCAAAAATGGGGGAACCTAGGTTAGTGGGGGTCCCTGGATTTTCGGGAGCCTCTGGTACCAGGTCCCTAACAGATGGTGGGGCGAGAGTCAACATGGCTTGTGTGTTAAGGATGGGATTCGGACCTATTGGGAGTGTACGGGCGGGAACTGCGATTTTCTGAATGGTAAAGAGGACCCCATTATCCCACCCAGTCATGTATAACCTTAAACCCCAAGAATGCCCGAGATTCCAAGAGTCATCAGTGTCTTACTTGACTGTTAGGATCATAGGGTTACATTTCCCAGGCCAGCAGGAGGCGGGGAGGGGGCTTTGTCTCTTCAGGGTGATTAGGGGGTCCCGGCCGCCCCTAGGAATCCACCCGGCCACAGTCTCACAACCCCATTCTGCACAATGAAAGTGATTACTACCCTGACAGGAAGGATTCCCCGTGGCCGGACAAACATAGAATTCAATACTTCTGATTCTCACTTCCCCTGCCCCGGGTGTGGTTGGAGTGGTGGGAATAATGGGGCAGTATCCCCTTCCTCCAGCGATAGGGTCCCGTATAGCCCGGTTTTGATTCCATCCTGGTCCCAAGAGGGCACAGAGGTCAAACCTGAAAGTGGGGGCTCCGTAACTGGTGAGAGCTTGGACGGTGGTCCCATCGTTAGTTCGGGAGGGAATCCACCTGGATGGGGTAGGGCTATAAGGGTCACCCAAAGTCATCCCACAAGCAAAAAGAAAGAGAAGAGTCAAGTTCTGGAGAGTCGAAGCTTTAGGTTGGACACTGCTTCTGCTGTCCAGGCGGTGGAGTTGGGCTCTGGGGCCTTCTTGATGTGTGACTGATGTATCCATGCCTTGCGGCCGGCAACCTTGACGGCAGAAGGGTTGCAGAGGATAATTTGATACGGGCCCGTCCACCGTGGTTCCAGGGCTGGTCCAGCTGGAAGCTTGCGAGTGAGGACCCAGTCTCCCGGTGACAGGGCGTCCGATGAAGTTGCAGGGTCTGGTTCTTTCCCTGCAGCTTTCAGGACTGAGCGCACAGCGTTCTGGACCTCACGCAAAGCCTGGAAGGACTTAAGAAGAGTCGGATTAGTGAAATCTGGGGCTGGAATAGCTGCAGATACTCTTGGAATAATAGGAGGAGGGGCTCCATAGAGGATCTCGTATGGAGATAAAGAGAGGGTTGAGGAATTGGGAGTACACCGGGCCTGGAGGAGGGCGAAGGGAAGGAGACTGACCCAGCTATCGCCAGTTTCTATTTTAAGTTTAGCAATGTGCTCCTTTAGAGTTCTATTCATCTTCTCTACCTGCCCTGAGCTTTGAGGCCTATATGCACAGTGCAATTTCCATTTCAATCCCAGCATCTTTGATAGGCTTTGAATTGTTGCGGATACAAATGCTGGGCCGTTGTCAGAGCCTATCGAGGCCGGCAGGCCAAATCTAGGAATAAGTTCAAAGAACAGCTTTTTGGCCACTACAGTTGCAGTTTCAGTTTTGACTGGAAATGCTTCCGGCCATCCAGAAAATGTGTCCACGAATACAAGGAGAAAATGGTACCCTCCCAACCCAGTTCCCATGTCAGTAAAGTCTACTTCCCAATGGTCGCCAGGAAATGTCTCTCGTGGTCTATCAGTCGGTATCCTTGATTGTGATCGTGGGTTGACTTTGGCACATGCAAGGCATCTTCTTGCGGCTTCCTTGGCCGCCTGCTTCATCCCAGGGCTGTAGAAGTGTCGGCTTACCAGGTCGTAAAGCCGGGTTCCGCCTAAGTGGGTAAGGCTATGAAGAGTCATCAACAGGGGTAGCAACAGTGCCTTGGGCAGAATTAGCAAGCCATTTGGGTGTCTTCTCCATCCCCCCTTTTCAGGGGTGCCATCTGGATCACTGGATTGATAAGATGGTTGGACAGGCAGCATCCCCTCAGGTTCCACGACCATAGCGGGTATCAAGGGCTTGCAGGCAGCCGCTCGGGCAGCCCTATCCGCTGCCGCGTTCCCTAGAGACGGGGGGTCAGTTCCACGGGTGTGAGCAGGAACATGAATTACCGCCACCTCCTTGGGAAGCCAGACAGCATCCAGCAGCTCCTGGATCTGACTCTTGTTCCTAATCTCCTTACCCGCCGAGGTTAACAGTCCCCGTTGTAGATATACATATCCATGGACATGAACAGTGGCAAAGGCATAGTGGCTATCAGTGTAGATGTTTACTCACCTGCCTGCAGAGAGTCTAAGGGCTTGAGTTAAGGCAATGAGTTCAGCACGTTGAGCAGATGTGTCGGGGGGTAGAGCGGTCTCCCAGAGGGTCTCAACCGGAGTGACCACGGCTGCACCCGCCCTACGGATCCCCTCCTGAACAAAACTGCTGCCGTCCTTGAAAAGCACTAGGTCTGGGTTTGTTAAAGGAACATCAGTAAGTCCAGGGCAGGACGTGTGGATGGAGTCCAGTGTGTCCAGGCAATCATGTATAGGGGAGGAAGGAGGGGAGTCAGGGAGCAGGGTGGCCGGGTTGAGTGTGACCGGAGGAGCAAAGGTGATGCGCGCGGGATCGAGGAGTAGGGATTGGTAATGAGTCAGGCGTGAATTTGAGATCCATCTTGTCGGCGGAGAATGTAAAAGCTGTTCCAGATGATGCGATGCTGAAATCTCAAGAGGCTGCCCGAAGGTGAGCTTAGCGGCTTCCCTAACCAAGACGGCAACGGCCGCCACAGTTCGCAGGCAAGAGGGCCACCCGGAAGCCACAGGGTCCAGCTGCTTGGAGAGATAGGCAACAGGACGATTCCAGGGCCCCAGGGGCTGGGTCAGAACCCCTTTGGCCACAGCTCGAGACTCAGACACATAGAGGCGGAAGGGCTTGGACAGGTCTGGCAGGGAGAGGGCAGGCATGCTGGACAGCGCCTTTCGAAGCTTGTCGAATGCTTCCTGCTGCCGTGGTCCCCAAACAAATTGGGTGGGTTCACCAGTAAGGGCCTCATATAGGGGTTTGGCAACCTCGGCAAACCCCAAGATCCAGAGGCGACAGTATCCAGCCATCCCCAGGAATTCCCGGAGCCCGCGGCGGTCCCTCGGGGCGGTCATGCCCAAAATGGTAGCTACACGCCCCCGAGACAGTAACCTTTGGCCGGAACAAGGTTGAAACCCAAGTAAACAACGGATTGAGAGCACAGTTGTGCTTTCTTTCCAGAGGTACGATAGCCGGAAGCCTCAAGCAACTGGAGAAGGTGGAGAGTTGCATCTTTGCATATTGCCTCAGAGGAGGTAGCCAACAACAGGTCATCAACATACTGGAGGAGAGTGACCTCCGGATACGAGACCCGGAAGGCAGCCAAGTCGGAGGCCAGAGCTGAGCCAAAAAGTGTAGGGGAGTTCTTAAAACCTTGGGGAAGCCGGGTCCAGGTGAGCTGAGAGGATGTCCCAGTGTTAGGATCTGTCCAAGTAAAAGCGAATATAGGTTGGCTTACTGGTGCCAAGGGAATGGAAAAGAAAGCATCCTTCAGGTCCAAAACAGTATACGAAGTCCGAGCAGGGTCCAGGGAAGACAGCAACGTATACGGGTTTGGTACAGTATGATGTAAAGTTTCCACCCGGGCGTTGACTTCTCGTAGATCCTGGACGGGACGGAAGTCTCCAGACCCGGGCTTGCGAACTGGAAGTAGGGGGGTGTTCCACGAGCTCTGGCAGGGTCGTAGAATGCCTGCCGCCAAGAGTCGATCGATATGAGGCTTGATGCCCAAAAGGGCAGCTCGAGTCAACGGGTATTGTTGGACACGCGCAGGGGTTGCTGTGGACGAGAGCTGGACCACCACTGGGGGCTGGTGTCCTGCTAGGCCAAACGGGTTAGTCTCAGCCCAGACTCCAGGAACCAAGCCTTTGAAATGGTTCAACAGAGTTAGGGAAGTAGGGGTGGAGGTGGTCGAGGGGCGGTCTGGGGAAAACGTTAGGGGGAGGAGGCGAGACTCCTCCGACAACGGGCAGGTGAGAACAAGTTGTGGCAGGTTGAACCTGAGAGTGGGGTTAGGTCCCTTAAAGGATATGACAGCCTGAAGCTTGTGCAGAAGATCTCAGCCAAGCAAGGGGTAAGGGCAATCAGGCATCACTAGAAATGAATGGGAAACTAGGCCCTTCCCTAACTGGACTTCCCGAGAAGTGGTGAGGGGTACAGACTGTTTTCGTCCAGTAGCTCCCTGGACTTGCACAGTGGATGATGAGAGGGAGCCCAGTGGGGATTTCAGGACCGATGCCGCAGCTCCAGAGTCTACTAGGAATGAGACAGGTTGACCCCCAACACTGAGAGTAACCCTCGGCTCCAGGGGGTCAAGAGTCACAACGGACTTTGAGCCGGGGCACCCCTAGTCTGTATTCAAAGTCAATAAAGGCTCTGCCTTCTCTTTCAGCCCGTGATTAGGGCACTCAGATTTCCAATGGCCCGTGGCTTTGCAGTAAGCACACTGGTCCCGAGCTAAAGGAGGCCTTCCCAAGCCTTTACCCTTATAGGGGCGCCCAGCGTTTGGCCCCTCCCGCCTTCCTTTCCACCCTTGCTTCTGAGCCTCCCCTGGAACCTGTGCTAAAGCTGCCACTACCGCCCTTGCGACCGTGCGAGTTTGCTTGTCTTGAGCCTCTTCACGATAGTCAAACACCCGCTTGGCCACTTCCATGAGTTCAGTCAGATTTTTACCCTCAAAACCTTCAAGTTTCTGTAGCTTCCGACGGATGTCCAGAGCCGAATTGGCTACGAAATCAATTACGATGGCTCTCCGGTTATTGGGATCCTCTGGGTCAATAGCGGTGTAGGTTCGATATGCCTCGTAGAGGCGCTCCAAGTATGCAGCTGGGGACTCGTTCTTGCCCTGTCTAACCTCACTGACTTTGGACATATTGGTTGGTTTCCGTGCTGCTGCCCGTAACCCTCCCAGCAACAACTGGCGATACCTGTCCAGTGCTTCCCTACCGCGATCAGTGTTGGGGTCCCAGTCGGGCCGGTTCTCAGGGAAGATGTGGTTGCGGCGCCCCGGGTCAGTAGAGGGATGTCCATCTGGGTCCAGAACTCCCTTCCTGGCTTCTAAAAGAATCCTGTCACGCTCCTCGGTTGTGAAAAGAACCCGGAGGAGTTGTTGGCAGTCATCCCAAGTGGGCTGATGAGTATAAAAGACAGTCTCTAGGAGGGAGATTAGGCTCTGGGGCTTATCAGAGAAGGATGGGTTTTGCTGTTTCCAATTGTACAAATCACTGGTGGAGAAGGGAACATATACCATGAACGGTCTCCCTGATTCTCTGGGAGGGGAAGGAACTTGCCTCAGGGGAAACGCTGACACAGTGGAATCTGGGGTCAAACTAGAATTAGAAGGGCCATAAGGAGCACCTGCTCGAGTATGGGGTGGACTTATCAGAGGAGGGGCTGAGGGGCTCAGAGACCCTGAGGTTGGGTACGGGGGTGGATCTGAAACCTGGGACTGGGAGTACTCGGCTGGATCTAGGGGGTCAGAATCAGGGGGTGGTAAGACAGGAGAAAGCTGTGTGACGACCTTAGGACTTTCGGGAGGCTTGCGACTAAAGGTCGTCTTTGATTCCATTCCTGGTCTTAGTTTTGAAAGAGCCTGGACCTGTAGTGGTCCCGAAGGGGGTTTGAAATCAATCCAGGCGGTGATATAGGGGACCTGATCGGGGTGGCCAGGTATACCATAGACAATTCCCCTTACCCGGCCGGCCACCGAGACGTCAAACGTACCCTCCGGGGGCCAGCCTACCTCGAAGGTGGGCCATTCCTGTTGGCAAAAGAGAGCTAATTTCTTTTTAGTAACCTGAAACCCATAACCTTCTGCTATTCGCCTATATTGTTTGAAGTTCCGTAAGACAATAAAGAGAGGGGAGCCTAGCTTAGGGCTCGAGGGTCCCTGTCCCATGGTGGATTAAGGACTGAGAAAGAAAAGAGTAACAAATAGACGTGCTCACGTAAGCAAGGACCAAACACGGACACAGGGAAGACACAGTCAAGACAGG